AAAAAAAAAAAAAAAAAAAAAAAAAAAAAAAAAAAAAGAGAGAAAAAACTCGTCAATAAAAGCTTGAAGCCTGGAAGTGATTTGATTCTAGGTTGGATATTCTTATCTCCCTTTCTCTTTTTTCTTTTGGCTCTGTCCATTCACTTTATGTTAAATTATATTTAAACAAAATTTGGTTCCTTTAGTGTAAATAATGAGACTGATTAAAACTAAATATTGCTTAATTTGATTTTAAAAATTTTCATGCACCAATTCTTTCAAAAATATAGTTATTTACTTATCCAAAGCAATCCAGACTATGTCCAAATTTACCCAATTTTATACAATTTGGGGTGGTTTAAACGGTTAGGATATACTATAAACCATGCGTATTGTAATAATATTCTTTATGGAACAATTGTTTATTTATTTATTCAATTCAATAAAATTTTATTTTAAATAGATCATGTATTTGTCTGTGTGTCATTTGCTTATATAGTAGATGGTTTAGTGTATAGAGTTTAATTTACATACAGAAGATTAAATCATCGGTTCTTATAAGTCATACAATTTAAGTTCACAATCTAATGATGGAATGAACAAACCATCAGAATGGTTGTAGCACAAGATTAAATATAATTTATCTTGATTATGGGAATGATTTAATTCCGACTTTTTGTGCTAGTACATTTTGTATGTATTGAATGGATCAAGTAGAGATAAGTATTTTATACTGACTTAATTAAATAATTTTTCTAGTCTTATACTCTTAATCTTGATATAATTATTATTAGTTGTATGTGTCATTTATTGTTTTGATTTATTAAAAAGCGAGATTCTTTCGTGGGTCAATAAGCCTGATAAATTGGACAATAATGATATACATTGACGAAGTAATAATTAGTTGATAGAATCTATGTCTCAGCTTTTGAGATTGATGATACTCCTTTACGCAAGCTTATAAGTTTTCATGTGTAGACCCGGCCGATAGATTTTGTATCCGACACATAAAGTAAGTTAAGCGAAAGTCCAAAGGAAGTAATCAATAAATTAAATTATCAGTAAGTTAATTTGATTGATTAGTGTCTGACTCTTAACATGGGGCGTTAAATAAGGTTTTATGGAAGAATTTCGAAATTGAACTAAGGAGTGCAATTACGAATTTTTGGTGGAATAATTCATAATTTATTATTGTAGAAATTAATTTCGAAATTCAAAATTAATTCCATAATAGGGAGCCTTGTTAATTAAATTATGTGGTCCCTACTGTGCCTAAATAATAGAAAATAAAGGAAACCTTTCCTTGGTGGAAGAAGAAAACCCAACAGGTTTTGGAAAAGGGGTTTACCCTAAAAAAACATGGCTATATATACCTCATACAGGGCTGGCCATTTTTTACACATGTTTTTCTTGGAATTTCGCCCATTCGAAATTCTCTCTTTCCGGATATTATTTAGGTAATACAGTAGAAGACTGTGAAACGTTTTGCTGAGGTCGTGGTCTTGCTACTCTGGAACTAGAGATCGAGATTAATCTGCTTTGTTCACCCTTTAAGAGGTAACTCGTAGAATCTCCATATGTGGTAATTGTTTAATTTACACGTAAATATGATACTAAAATTATTTCCGCTGCGATATACAATCCAACATTTGGTATCAGAGCCTACTCACATCTAATAAGATAATTAGGATGAACATGAAAAAGAGCATCATGCTAATATGCAAGTTTTGAATTACATACAAAGATTGTTTTTTGTAAAACTGTACTGCTTTATGCATGAATATTTGTTCCGAATTGATTATTCTAAAAATCATGTAATATCTGTTTATTATTGATGATATTTAATTTGAATAATCTGAAAAATTTCGTTAATCCGAGGAAAACGCAAAAACTTCTATTTGGCCGAACTGGGCAAAAAATCGGAGGTCAACATGTTAACGGACTCCGATTGACTTGAAATTTGGTAGGTCCATACGAAACAGCCCGGTGGTCGATACACATGAGCTTTGCTCATGAGTTAAGCCGTTTTTCGGGCATTTGAGGTCGTTTAGATGATGTTTTGGGTGTTTTTCTAATTTTCTAGAATTTTTTCAAAAAAAATTTAAGTTGTTTTTTAATCTAGTGGAGGTAGGGATCGTTCCCTATGGACTCAATGGTTAAATTCTGGTGAGATAATGAATTTACACATTGACATAGGTCTTCTTCCATATCGGATAAACTCATTATAGCTAATCACTAGGTAATACTAGCTGTTGATTACTTGTATTTACTCTCCATCTGAGTATGCATGTTGGTTCAATGGGACTAGTATCTTGAATGTTGATATTCACTTGAGTTAAGTTAACAGTTTACTCTCCATCTCAGTAAGGCCTGTTTAAATTCATGGAGTGTATAATCTGTCATTACGTATGTATATTGCAAGAATAGCTTTTTTTCCATCGAAACTTGTTGTTCAAGGTGCATCGATTATATGTATATAATGTCTTTTGAATTTTAATATTCAATAAAACATGATTGATATTGATCTATTTATTTAATTGCCTCTCAGATTAACTATGACTGCTTTCAACCCCCTTACTGCTATTCTAACTCAAAACAAACTTGAGGGTCCGAATTATGTTGATTGGAAACGAAACTTGGATATTGTCCTAATTGCTGAAGAGTTCAAATTTGTGCTTGATGAGGTGTGTCCAGAAAAACCTATAGAAGATGTTACGGATGATGGACAGAAAACTTACCAAAATGGGTTAAGGCTGATGAGATGGCGTGGTGTTACATTCTGGCATCTATGTCGAATGTTCTGCAACATCAACATCAGTCTATGGAGTCCGCTTATGACATTCTAGAAAATCTCAAAGAGATGTCTGGAGATCAGAATCGTGCTGCTAAGCAGCTACTATGAAAGCTCTTCTGTATACCAAAATGGTTGAAGGTTCATCAGTTAGGGACTATGTTCTGAAGATGATGAGTCTTCTGAGTGAACTGGAGGTCTTTGGAGCTAACATTGATAAGGATACAGGTTGAGATGATCGTGCAGACTCTGCCTAATAGTTTTCAGCAGTTTCGCTTGAATTATAATATAAACAAAATGGATTTATCACTTGCGAAATTGCTAAATGAGCTGCAGTTAGCAGAGACTATTATCAAGCAACAAGCTCCTCCTGTGATACTGAATTTTGAGATAGGTTCTTCTTCTAAGTCGAGAGGCGGGAAAAATAAGAAAAAGGCTAAAAAATCCTTTGTTGGTGGCGCAACTACTGGTGTGAAAAACCCTAAGGGCAAGTGTTATTACTACAAGAAACCTAAGCATCATAAGAAACAATGTCCGGGTTATCTGACCAAGCTGAATAATAAACCATGTGATTTACATCTACTTTTCATTGAAACTCTTTTAGCGGCTGTTACGTTGATTATAGGTCTGATCCGCAGGGGAACAAGTGAGGAATCTGGTTCTGAGAGGGAACATTAATTTTGGGTTTGTCATCATCTAAAAGGGGAAAATTGCTATAAGTTACGCTATTTCATGATTTGATGATTTGCCAAACGTTCTCGAGAAATCAAGTAGTGACCAGATATGATCAGTACATGTAAGGAATCTAATTCTCAGGCGGAATATCAATTCTAGGTTTGTCATCATCAAAAAGGGAGAAATTGATAAGTTATGTTATTTTGTATTTTGATAATTTGCCAAACAGTCTCGAGGAACTAGTTGTGATCAGTTCCATTGATCTGGTTTTCAGGGGGAAAATGACTGATTCGTAGGGGGAACAATGTGAAGATCTGGTTCTCATGGGAAATATCAATTATAAGTTTGTCATCATCAAAAAGGGGGAAATTCATAAGTTATGCGTCTTTTGTTTTGATGCTTTGACAAACTTCATGAGAGAACCAGATAAGGAACCTGGTACAATTAGTTCCCTTGCGTTCAGAATAACTAGTCAGATGTCTGGTTCAATTCTCAATGAAATCAGATAAGGTAACAACATACAGAACAGATATGGATCAGTTCCTCTAGTCGTCGTACAATCAACTCTACAGCTGTAAAAGTTGTTGCACTGTACCGTCTGGCAGGCTGCTGCACTGTACCGTCTGGGAGCAGTACAGCAGCACAACTGTAACTTGCTAAGGCCAAACAAAATGACACTTTAATGAATCATCTTTGATGACCTCACACACACATATTGTCAACATGAGGCAAGAGATTTCACTTTCTAACACTTGCAAGTTCAAAAGTTCATATCCTCTCAAGTGCTAGCCACCACCTCTCTCAAGAACAAAGCTGTTATAACCTCAAGGACTAGATCGAGAGATTGATGATATCTTAAATCTCTAGGTTTGTTGAGTCTTTGTCATTTTGTTCTTCATTTGTAATCCTACACAACTTTCAAGAAGTGTCTTTGTAGGACAGATTTCAACCATTATTTGGTTCGGTTTCTTGACTAGAGTTAGTCGAGATTTGTTGCTTTGTAATAGAGTTATTGCAAAGGGCTTACAATAGAGTTATTGTAAGGGGTGAGGGATTAAGAGTTTAATTCCTAGATTGCAATAGGTTGTAATATGAAGTTTGCTCGGTTTAGTGGAGTTGAAATCCTACTAGGGTAAGTCGTGATTTTTAATCCCTTGAGCAAGGAGTTTTCCACGTAAATATCGCGTATTCTTTATTTACTGCATATTTACTATGGGAACAGATAGAGAACCTGATTCCCTATACTATCTGGTTTTACTTTCTGCTTATTTACTCAGAAAACAGATAGAGAACTTCTCCATATTGTTTGGTGGATTCCTAGTTTCTATCATTAAAGTTCACAATAGAAAAAGCATGTACCCAAGAAGTAGTACATCAGCCTATTAGATAAGCCATCTCTCGACCACTAAATAAGTTAAGATGTCCCTCTGTCAAATATATTCTCTAGAACTTCTATGTTATCGCTTATCACCCTATCTCTTAAAGTTGAGTGACAATTTTGCACAAACATAGAAAGTGTCTTTTCTTCAATCTGCTTGTGACTGCAGATTCTTTGTAGTTCTAAAAATGAAACTTTAATAAAAGAATGACTGCAGATTCCATGTAAGGACTACCCGAAAATCAGAAAAGTGTTGAATATGTACCTTTTCCTTTTCAACATACAGCAATTTCCCTGTTGGTAGGGTTAGTTCACTGACTATGATTGAGGAATATATACCCCAGAGCCGTGAATGATATACAGGACAATCAAATTGTAGTTTGCCAATGGTAATTAGTGAAATCAATAAATGCTCTTAACTAAGTGTCAAAATCTAACTTACATTCCAAAAACTAGCTCGAATGGAGGAGGATTACCGAAGTCTTATAAGGAGACCTGAGGATCTCATCCTAGTCCGATATGAGATTCATTCCATTCATCACCACTCCCCCCTCCCCCCAACCCTAACGTACAGATCTGAATATTCTTTATCCGGGGTCCCACTGTCTTATCTGGAACGTGCACAATAATGGACCGAGGGGTATTTTCACCCCTTCTTCAATTGGTTTGGAGGCAAACCGGCCCCTCTTCTAGGGGCCCTCATTGACCATGAGCCTAGCACTCATACCATGTCAAAATAAGCTTTGGATCTAATTCACACTCCAAAAGCTAGCTCGAATGGAGGAGGATTGTCCAAGCATTATAGAGAGACCAGGAATCTATCACTGTCCGATATAGAATTCATTTCATTCATCACTAAATGAAACAAATATTTGGAATCGCTTTAGTAAGTTTAGTAAGATTTTTCATTTCCCTTATATTAGGGATTAAGTGTGGCCCAATTATGCTAGCCTTCTACCTCTAATATTAAACAAATCTCGTCCGTTCATGACCTATGTCCTAATTAAAGTTAAATCAAATAAATTGGTCCTCTCCCTTCATGTATTATGATTATTGCCTCTATACACCTTTCATTTCTATCACTAAAGTCGCAGTAACTTTGTACTAAAACTCCTCTGCCAGTATATTAATTTATTTAAGAAGCTATTCATCGCATAAATCATTTATCTTTGTAGCTCCAATCAGTAGCGGAACCAGGATTTTCACCAAAGGGATTCAAAAAAAAAGTAAATACATAAATAAGCTAAGAGGATTCAACATCTAATATATATATATATGAAAAAAAATTGATCTTACATACGTAGTGTAATTTTCGACGAAGAGGGTTTGGCTGAACCCCTTTCGCTCACCTAACTCTGCCCATAGCTCCAAAATATAAGGCCTAAATAGAGAAGATTACATGAAGATATTTATATAAACGGTCATACTTTTTTGGTGACATAAGCTACAGAATTAAGTGAGAGAACTCAATAGGTCCAAGAAAATAAAGCCTATTAATTTGGAGACTGGAGGCTGGAGCAATTGGCCAGAGAGCATGTGCTACTATTATTTTCTTTCAGAAATTAGAGCGTAAATTGACTAAAGCTAGCGCCAGTGTATGGAGGCCATAGCTGCAGGGCTGGATCTACAGTGTTTGATATCGAGAAATAAATATTTTTAGCTGCTTTAAAAAATAATAGCTGATATATTTTTTATATATATATATGTTAATATACATATAATATTCATATTTTATACCCTTTTTGGCTAGCGAATTAGTTTCGACAGACCAGTCAACTTTGTATTTTGGCCTTAGTTATGGGGTCATATTAACCCAGAAACTTTTGCTTATACCTTGTATTTATATTAAAAAATTCCACTAAACACATAAGAATATTTCTTTCGGAAGTTGGAACCAAGTCCGTTAGTTCAATTATTATTGTATGAAATTATGTATGAACCGATAAACTTTAAATTCTGAATTCGTCTCTCACTACGAGCGGACTTTAATCAATAGGGAGAGAAAAGAAGAAATGACAACAGTGTACAGAATCACGAGCAAATATATTCATGTAATTGCTGGAATTTGTGAGACCAAGCTCACAAGGGTACTAAAAATGGTGGATTGGTACAATTAATTTGATAAAATTGTGATGGCCTCACGGAATCTTGTGGTCCTAGTCCTTGTTTATATAACTGTTGGACTCTTCTATAGCAAATTCAGCTTCAGCTTGAGGCTATACATAGATGTGGTGGTGGATTTGGCAGAGGTGGATTTAGCTTGTATCTTATGAAATCACGTGAACTCATTGTTGTTATCCACACTTTATATATGTAAATCTACTACTAATAAATATTTAACAGTAAATTTAGTTATTATTGTTTATTAACTTGAGCAACAAAAACTGGTGGGATTGAAGTTTGGTGAAAGTGAGCTCTCTTATGCTTAGAAAAGAGCAATTATTCCTCGTTGGTGGTGGAATGAAAAAAAAATAGAATGTGCTTATATTAAGAAAGCACTTCCCTTGGTGTTAAATAAGTTGGAAAGAAGGTAAGCCTCGCGCTGGCGTCATCGCCACTCGCTCGGCTTCGGTCAAAGATCGATTGATTTAATTTAATTAATTATCGAAACGTCAACCCCGACGCGACCCGGTCCAATATTTCTTTCCCAGATTATTTTAAATTCTTTTCCCGAAATATTTTGAACGTTTCCATCTGTTCTAACAGCCATGGCTGTTTCTGCAAGGTTGCAAACTTTTCAGAAACAGTGCCAGAAAATGGCTATAAATATGTCTTGATCCCAAAATTTTTCTTAAAAAATTTTCTGAACTTCTTCTCCTTCTTCTGCAAAATAAATTCCAGTGTGATTTACAGCCAGTAAGTGGTTTGTTGTTCACCCGCGTTTTTGGTACCGATACACTGGTGAGTTAAATCGTTCTATCCTGAGAGGATAATATTCCAACACCTCAGATACTTGAGTGGAATAATTTCCTTAACGACACACTGTGCATTCAATAGGTTCGATTTTATTCCGAAATATATTTTTAGATTCTGTTTCTGATTATATACATTTCTGCCTTACTATTGTTTTTCCTGTTTCTGATTTTGTTACAGAATATTTATTGTTTCATAATATATTAAAGTAATACAGATTATTAACAGGAACTCCTGTATTTTAAATCATAGATTGGCACCTACTTGAAAGAGTACATATAAATTATATTTTAGTTTGTCATTCTTGAATATGTCATTGCTGCGGTGCTTCTTGGAAAGATCATCAGTTTCAGGATGAGGTCAAAAATGTACCAAAACTCCCCGATTGAAAAAAATGATAAGCATATGCAAATATTATAGCGACAAGACCTTATGATCATATAGAACTAACTATATGTAGTTTTCAGCCCATGCGCATTAAAAAAAAAACATAGTAACAACTTTTCAGAATTTGTAGGAAGAAACCTATCGAGCTTTGGGTATATAGTTGCCTTTGTTAGGGATTTACCTTCCCAATGTGAAATTTTTCGGTGCATATCTAAATTTAGTCGGGTTTCAGTACGAATACCGAATACCGGATTAAAAACCAAAAAAGAGAGAGAGAGAGGAAGAAACCTAAAGTTACCCTAACAAATGTGGATATATGCTATCT